AACTCTATTCTCCTTTATCAGGAGAAGTAACTGAAATTAATGGAGCTCTGGCAGAAAACCCTGGACTTGTTAACAAATCTTGTTATGAAGATGGTAAGTTGTTGCCAGAAATTTTTCAAGGGATTACTGCTACAGTTAACATTTAATCTAGAGTTTAAAGCAAGTTTAGTTGATTGTGACTTCATCTTTTTCTACTTCTTAGTATTAAATAGAGATGTTCTGCTTTAAAAAGGAAAAAAAAGATTAGGTGAATACATAGGGTTGTATTTAAGATCCCTGACAATAAAAACGTTGCCTTATTTTGCAACTGATCCTTGTTTTTAGTGTCAGTTGTAGATTCCTTGGTTGTTACGGTGTAAACACCTGCAAAATATTTACCTCTTCAAATGTAAACCATCCACACATATTGTTTGATGTAGGTGGTGATAAAATATATTGCATTAATTTTTGGTTTTCTCACATTTTCATTTGTACGTAATAATAATGTAGGGGGTAAGCTAACAGCAATATTCTCCATTTTATAGATGAATAGAGGCTCCAAAGGATTTACCTGTCAGTGTCACATGGCCAGTAAATGGCAAAGTTAGGATTAGATTGTAGCTCTCTCTTTCCTATCACCTAGCCCTTCTAACTCTTCTACTCCTGATTTCTAATGCCCTTAATCTCAACAATTGGTGTTGGTGTTCCTTTTGTTAAAGAAAGATATATCTGGCCTTGTGTATTTGAATTACTTAAAGATTTAAATGTCAATTGTTGATGCTTATTATAACCCAAGAGTTCTTAATCCATTATGGCTATAATTCTATTCAGCTGTGATATATATTAATTCTGAAGGCTAAAATTTAAAAGTTCCATGAACAAATAGTGTATGTGATTTATGTAAAGAATACTAGATTAATTTTAAGGAAATTTACTTTACATTTTGGATGAATATGACTTTTTAAAAAGTTAATTTGGAATATAAGATTATTTTTTGGTTGCAGGTTGGCTGATCAAGATGACACTGAGTAACCCTTCAGAACTAGATGAACTAATGAGTGAAGAAGCATATGAGAAATACATAAAATCTATTGAGGAGTGAAAATGGAACCCCTAAATAAACTAGTGTGAAATAACTTAATCCAGCATAGTTGTCTTAAATTAGTGATGGATAGATGACTTAAAATAGCAACTACTCTTAACACTGCTAATGAAAGAAAATACTTCTTAACTTTCTAATGA